TGTGCGCTCTCCTGTGTGTCTGTGTGTGTGATGGGGTGTGCGCTCACCTGTGTCTGTGTGTGTGTCACTGGGTGTGCGCTCACCTGTGTCTGTGTGTGTGTGTCACCGTATGTGTTCGTTTGCCCCTGTGTGTGTGTCACAGGGTATGTGCATGTGTGTGTGCATCGTGGGGTGTGCGCTTGCCAGGGAGGGGAGAGGCAGAGAGATTCAGACAGAGGAAGCGAGAAATCACCCCCAAGGGGCTGGCCACACTGCAGTCCCTTCTCCATTCTCCTGGGATTTGGGCACACACACGTGGGCCCCACGTGGTTTTCAAGCCTCCAGGTCCAGAGCTAGAACCACGGTCAGCCATGTGGGATTCCAGCACCATGACACCCACTGCCGGTCCCCAGAGCCATTTCCACTCACTCGTCCTCCACACCGCCTGCTCCGTGTCCCCCCGTGCTGCCCCTTCATCCTGATGGTCCCCCATTTTCCCGCCCAGTCCCTGCCGGCCCACCCCGGCCTGCCCGCAGAGCCCTGCCCCTCCTGCGAGCTCCTGCCTGTGCTGCAGGCAGTCCGCTGACCACTCGGGCTCGGAGCTCGGCCCCATAGAGGAGCATCTAATAACATCGATTCCTCCAGCACAGAACGGAACCTGGGCAGGGCCGGCCATGCCCCGTGACTCAGAGTGCTTTGGGGCAGGGCACCGGGCCAACGGCGGCTAGTGGTCAGGTGCTGGACTCCCCACCCGACCAGAGCCACGTCTGGACCTGGAGGCTTGACGATCACGCCAGGTGCCCGGAATCCAAGTGGGGAGGGGGCAGAGTGGCTCCCCGGGCGGCTCTCGGTCCCCTCCACTCTCTCTCCCTCTTTTCTGGCGAGTGCACATACCATGTGACCGTTCAAAATAAGAGAGAGAGAAGCACCTGCTCCTCGCGAGAGAGCCGAGACCGCCGGGCCGGCCCCACCGCCAGCTCAGGCAGGAGTGAGCACGAGGCCACCAGCGCTTGGCGCCGTCTGCTGCACGGAGACACCTCCTCCAGGCTGGTGCTCTTGCTCCAGAGGCCCTGCGTGGCCTCGGGAGCCGGCCAGACCAGCTGAAGCCAGAGGTGCACTATGGCAAGGCCACCGGGCGTCCCTGGGGCTCTGACAGGAGCACGCTAGCTTCTGGAAGACCCGCTCCTTCCTCCATCCCAAGTCAGCCTCCAGGACGGGCCCCCCATGGTCCAGCTGGCGCACCTTCACGGGTGCCCGGAGGCAGGTGACCCTATGTAGGGACGCCAGGCAGACATCCCAGCAGGTGTCCCCTGGAGGCTCTGGCTGCACGGGGGGAGCAGCACCCGGCAGGGCCTTCCGTATGCTCCGGGTGCTCCCACAGAGCCACGTGAGGTCAGCCAGCCTCCGCCCCGACAGGACAGGGCTCCTCAGCAACAGGCCCTGCACAGACATGGAAGCCTGCCCTGGGCCCGAGCTCGCCCCACCCCACGGCCTCGGCATATAGCTCTTACTCCTCCCGAGGGCGGCTCTCACCTGGGGAAGAGCCCCACGCACAGTGGACGGTCCAGCCGCCTGGATCAGGCTCCACACAGCTCTACGTGTGGAATCACTTGGAGGCACTCACAGACCGCTAGGGACTGCCCTGGACCCAGAGCCCCTCCGGAGTGGGAGAGGTGTGGAGGCTGAGGCGTGAAGGCCTGGCAGCGGACCCTGGCCCACACGACCTGCAGTCCTAGGGCCGAGGAGCAGAGCGGAGAGCCCCTGCCGCTGTTCCCAGGTCGCCCATGTCCTGATCCACCTCCCTGGCTTGTTGGCAGAAGCCCAGCTCAGAGCACCAGGCTGGCTGGCCAGAGTAGCCTAGCGTCCATGGCCCTGGTGTCGGGAGCATGCTGGGCCGTCTGCCTGCTGAGCACGGGCTGTGGTCCCCGTGGTCCCTGTGCTCCCTCGGGCAGCGCGGGTGCTCAGGTGCTGGCGCCCACAGCTCCTGCCCCATGGACACACCAGGCTTGTTGGGATCCTGCCCGAGCTGCCAGCTAGCCCCACATGTGCCCACTGGGTTCCAGCGGGGAGGGTCCCGAAGGCGCATTGACCAGCAGCAGGACAGCAGCGCAGCCCTGGGGGCTCTGGCGTGGGCTGCGCTCGGCCCCTTTCCCGAGCCGAACTGCATGGAGAGGGGAAAGGGTCCCCTCCAGCAGAGGGCCCGGAGCACCACTTAGACTGGGTGCTCATGTGGACAAGGCCCATTGGTGCAGGGAGACCGCCATGCCCTCTCGTCTGAAGCCTGCAACCCCGGCCAGCGCTGAGACGCCATCGGCAAATCTCAGTGGTAACCTGTGGCACACCAAGCAGCCTGCCTCCGGCTGCCGGGTCACAGAAATGAGCAAGGCCTGAGGGACAGTCACAGCCACAGGGGCGTCAGAGCTGGGCAGCATGCGGGCCCGGGTGGGGCGGGTGTCGGGAGGTCCAGGGAGACCCCAGGCAGTGGCGGGCTCTGCTCCCTGTCACACAGCGGGGTGAGGTCGCTGCTTCTGAGAATCGTGCTTGCCGACGGGCCTGAGCTCCCACGACGGGGAAATGAGGTCAGACCCGGGTGTGGGGGGCACACCGGCCCGCACCTGCCCTCTGGGAGGTAGGCGTGTCAGACGCATCAGTGCCCTGAGGGGCACGGGGCGCCGCCCTCACCTGGGAGGAGGGCTGGTGGCAGACCTGGCTCTCCCACGACATCTTCACGACATGGGTGTTAAGTTTGTGATTACAAGAAAAGGAGGGTCAGCGGGTGGCTCAGTGGTTAAGGCACTAGACTCCCATGTGTCTGCAGTTCGAGTCTTGGACCCAGCGCTCGACACTCAGGGTGCGTGTACATCCATGCTTTCTTACTTTCCTGCCTGCCTCTCCAGTGAGCATGCACACCCTGTAGCAGAAGTCCCTCAGACCCAGAGGGCTCTGGCTGTCTCACGGGGAGCTGGGTGAACCTGTGCCTGCCCGTCACCTGTGGCTGTGTGTTCCCTGCCCACAGCTGGGCGTGCTGCTGCTGTGGAGGCTGGACCAGAGGGGCCGAGCGCAAGGGACACCCCTGCTGAGACACGCATACGGGAGGCACCTTACTCACTGCGTCTTCCGGCCACCACCTCCCGGCGAGTGAGTGTGAAGCCTGCAGGGGCCTGAGCAAGTGTCTCTGCCGGGGCAGGGGGGAACGGGAGGGCCACAGCCTGTCACTCTGGGGCAGCAGGAAACCTTGCCTTTTGCACCTCCTGCTCCAGGGACCTGGCTCAGCTGGCAAAGGCGGCCGTGAGTGGCGACGAGAAAGCCCTGGACATGTTCAACTGGAGGAAAAGCAGCTCCGGGGGCTCCCTGAAGACGGGCTCTCCGGAGGGACTGTCCCTCTTCGTCAGCCTGGCCGACGGTGAGGCTTTCACAGTGGTGGGAGGGCTTTCTGGCTGAGGCAAAACGGGCATGAAGCACCCCATCACCGGCTGCTGCAGGCCCCCGGCATTCAGCGTGGCTTCGATGGGTCCCCACACAGCCAGCCACATCCCTGCTGGTGTTCTGGGCGTTTCCGCAGGGAGGCTTTTAGTCCCCATGCACACACTGCATGGCACCTGAGACAGCAGGGTGGTTTGGGAGAGACCTTTCCAGGATCCCCCATCACAGGCTGCGAAATCAGCGGGCCCCTCTGTGCGCCAGGTCCCCCATCACAGGCTGCGAGATCAGCGGGCCCCTCTGTGCGCCGGGTCCCCCATCACGGGCTGCGAGATCAGCGGGCCCCTCTGTACGCTGCGTCCTTGGGTCAAACCTGGGCAAAGCATGAGCAGCATTGACCGTGGTCCATGGAAGGCTGTGGACCCCTGACCTCGGTGGTGTGACTGTCCCCAGCTCCCACTTGATGTCCGCAGGGAGGCCGGCTGCCTGTGATGGCCACTCTGCGCTGTTGCAGGGATCTCTTGGCGGAGAGAGAGGACAGCCCTGCTGCCGGCCCTGCCCAGAAGCTCAGTCCTGAAGGGAGGAGGGAACCAGGCGGCAGCAGATGGAGTCTTGGGCTTCAGTTTTTAAATAACAGAGGCCTTTCGTTTCAGAGGGGAGGGAGGGCCAGCTGGTGAGTTGGTGGCTAGGGTTGCCTACTAAGGAGTTGGAGTCCTGGGTGTGGCGGCTTGGAGGACATGCCAGGCACATGTGTGTGCCCGCGGCTTGGAGGACATGCCAGGCACATGTGTGTGCCCGAAATCCCAAATGGAGAGGGGGATGGGGCAGGGGTTGAGCACGGCCGTCCTCCGTGGGGAGCGCCCTCACTCCCCACCGCCCAGGGAGCACACGCTCCCTCTAACACATGGTTCCCATTCATTCACTAAAGAAAGCGATTGCAAAGAGAATCTAATAGAATGCTGATACAGCTCTCAGGAGGCAGTGGAGAGGTGGAGCTGCAGAGAGGGACTGAGGCGTCCCGGAGTAGGGGAGGACTGGTCCCAGGGGGCTCGCCGAGCACGTGCTGTCCGGGAGGCCGGGGCACCGCTCGGGAAACTCCTTCACCGGAGGGGTCGTGGCCGTGAGCGCTGACAACCAGGCCCGCCGTGGGGG